TTCTTCTTCTTCTTCTTCTTCTTCTTCTTCTTCTTCTTCTTCTTCTTCTTCTTCTTCTTCTTCTTCTTCTTCTTCTTCTTCTTCTTCTTCTTCTTCTTCTTCTCTGATTGATGAGACGGTCAAGAGGTCCTCACCCTGCAATTTTAATTCCCAGGCAGGAAGCTATGCGAGATACCCCAGTCCCAAAACATGTAGGGCTTTCAGGGTCAAAACCAGCACCTTGACTTGGATTGGAAAGGTGTGTGTGTGTGTGGGGGGGGATGGCTGCGGTGTCAGGAAGCACACCTGCTTTCCATTTCAGGTCACGGTTTGAGCACTGCACAGATTGCACGCTTGCACCTGTGCGTCGAGCAGGGGGAGGGAGAGAAGAAGGCTCCGTTGCTCTCGGTGGCAGGCATCAGACGTTCCGTACTGAACCTTCTGCATTCCGACCTCAGTTCTGCGATTCACCGGAACCTCGTTGACATCCTTCTCTCTTAACATGCAGAGCACAAAAACAGCGTCAGAGCCCCCTCTAGCTCCCCCCGTGTCGGAAGAAGAGGACGAGGAAGATGAAGAGGAGGAGGACGATAACGAACCACCACCTGTAATCGCCCCACGTCCAGAACATACGAAATCAGTAAGCCGCTGATAGTTGCAGTTCTCTTTCCGTAACCGGAACCAAGGTTGCGTCAACGCGGTGATTGGGGGGAATGCAGGAAAAAAGACACAGAAGCTGCCTTGTACAGAACCAGGCCCTCCGTCCATCAAGGCCACTGCGGTCCACTCAGGCAGGCAGCCGCTCTCCAGGATTTCTAGTAAGAGGACCTTCACATCACCTACCGTGAGGTCTATTTAACTGGAGATGCCGGGGATTGAACCTGGGACCTGCCGCATGCCAAACAGATGCTCTGCCACTGAGCTATGGCCTCTCCCTAATATTGAGTGCAGAATTCAGGCTCCTGATAGTTGTTTTCATATTTTTTTTTTTAAACACCCCAAGTTTCAAACATTTTGAACACCAGAAGTACGCTTGGACATGTACGGGTGGAGATCAATGTTCCCTCTAAGCTGTGGAGTCTTGTGAGCAAAAATTCTACTTTGTGAGCGGCTGGCCTTAAAGTTGTGAGCGAGCGATTTGGCTGCTGCATAAATGAGTCTGCTCTGGAGCCCTCCTTCCTGAGCGAAGACAAAAATGTGTGTGAGGCAGAGGCGAAAAAACTCTGAGCTAGCTCACACGAACTCAGCTTCGAGGGAACACTGGTGCCCACCATGCCGTGTCTGAATTCCAAAGGTGTCTGCAGGCTTAAAAGGGTTGGGGACCCTCGAACTAAACTGTGGGTTTCCGTTACGTCTGAACGGAGCCACTGTGGGGGACGCAGCGAGCGAGCCCAGCAGCTCCCTCACATGAGAAGAGGCCCCAACATTTCATTTTAGAAGATAATGTTGTCCAAAACAAGACTCCGAATTGACAGGGCGCTGCCCCTGAGAAGGAGCCCGGCTCTTCGCTTCGTCATGTATCCCCAGGCTTGTCTGCCTCGTGTCCCGAGGTTTCGCGGTGCTCTTAGTTCGGGGTGTGACGCCAGTGTGTAAATTGAAAAACATAATAGGGGACTTGTAATCCATTACCTGCCTGTCAAGAGTTTAAATTGAGCCTTTAGAGAAAGAGGAAAATAATATTTGTGGCAGCCCAGGAGACGATTCATTTGTTTCCTTACACGTAGCTCATTCAGAATTCGCTGTCGTTCAATTCCCCTCCAAGTTCGCTGTGGAATCAGGAGTGGTCCCCCCCCCCGTGTTTCTTTCAGATTTATACGCGCTCCGTAATTGAACCTGTCGCGGCTCCGGCACCAGCAAAAGAACCCGCCGCTCCCCAACCGGAAAACTCCAACACAAACACTTTGTACAGAAACACAGACCGGCAACGGAAAAAATCCAAGATGACGGACGAGGAGATCCTTGAGAAATTGCGTGAGTCTTTCTGGTCCCAGCGTGCAAGATCTTTGCTGCCGGTGTTAAAAAGTGCCGGCAACCCTGGCCGTGACTCGGCTGGCATGAAGCACTTTTCATATTCCCTCACCTTGAGTGGGAGCCTTGGGCAGATGCTGATGGCCGGAGTCCACAGCACAATGAACTGGGCAAGGGTGGACCAATGCTGGGGGCGAGAGGGCCATGTCTGGGTCCCCCCCCCACCCCATTTTGCTGGAGCATCCTGAGTTGGGCAACGGCTCTTCCTGTTTCAGGTGACTGTAGATTCTTAGACAGGAAGGATTGTATGACGTACTTTGTATATCCGAGCCCCGCCCCCGGGGGGGGCGGTCAGCAGAGCTGTGGAGTCTCGCCTCTACCCCAGGCAGCTGGCACGGGACACGGGAGCAATGACAGGCATCGATTCTGCCGGTGGCTGCCTCCAGAGCTGCATTGCTGGTGCTGGAAGAAAGCTGATTTCTGGAGACACCCGTTGACACCCTAAGGCTTCCAAGTCCAGGCTGAGAAATTCCTGGAGCTCTGCGGGATGGAGCCTGGAGAGGGCGGGGTTTGAGGAGGGAAGGGTACAACGCCATAGAAATGTCAGGTTCCACAGCCAAACAATTGAGTACACACTTATCATAAGGTTATTCTTTATTGTCAGAGCTACAGAGGCAGTAACATCGTCACTGTTAGGAATGGCTACGTTCCTACAATCATAAAGGGATATAGGGTATTTGTATGCACACACCCATCCCTAGGCCAATTGGCCTGACTCCCGCGTGCGGGAGAATGGGGCCCCAGGCCATTAAAGCCAACGCTGGGAATCTAAACTAGTCCCACGGGTAATTGATGGGAAGACACTACACAGGCAGCCTACAAGGTCAGAGATAATAAGGAACTAAGGAATGTAGCAGCAGTTGGTACACAGGTCAAGCAAAGGCACTCCTGCCCATAAACTTCATGGCAGCATAGCTGACATTAAGATACAGTGCCAAAGCAGCCATATTCTCCAGGGGGAAATGATCTCTGTAGTCTGGAGTCCCAATGTTCCCTCTAAGGTGAGCTGGTGTGAGTTAGCTCACAGTTTTTTAGCCTCCAGCTCAGACATTTTTCTCTTAGCCCAGGAAGGATGGCTTGGCTCCAAAGCAAACTAATTTATGCAGCAGCCAAATCACTTGCTCACAACTTTAATGCCAGTAGCTCACAAAGTAGAATTTTTGCTCACAGGACTCCACAGCTTAGCGGGAACATTGGACAGACAGTCAACCTTTATTGGCATATCAGAGATAAAAGTACATTAAAATTTAGGAATACATCAAAAGTGTGGCTGTCGTACAGCCAACAAACAAACAACAACAAAAAAAGAACTGATCGGTTTATAGTTTCCCTGATTCGAATTGCAGATTGAAGAAAACAGGCAACATGAAAAGTTATAGAAGCGTTTTGCCCCGAGAGTATTTTTTATGTATTTATTCTTTAGATTTGTATCCCGCCCTCCCCGGAGGCTCAGGGCGGCTGGACCTTGACACTCTCAGGAGTAGCAACTGGACCTTGACACTCTCAGGGAGACCACGCCATGTCAAAAGAAGGGTGTCCAGAAGTTTATCCTGGGCCTTAGTATAAAATGGACAGTTTAAAAGAACATGGGAAACAGATTCGATGGCACCGTGACTACAAGGGCATTGTCTAAGTTCATAAGGGATTTTATGGCATCTTCCAGAGAAGATGGCCGATGGCAATGCGTTAAATCTGGCTAACATGAATGCCCGTCTTTGATGGGGGTCAGTTAGAGAGCAGAAATAAGTAGCTGTCTGACCCAGTGTCTGCGGTAATCCCAGATGAATTGGAGAACAGGTTTTCCTGGCTGCCTCAGTCAGGCACTGAAACTGAATATCTAAAAGCCTGCGTTTGATTGTATACAATATTGTGTAAAAAGGTAAAGGTAAAGGTTCCCTTGCTCGAAAGCCAGTCGAGTCCGACTCTAGGGTTGCGGTGCTCATCTCCGTTTCAAAGCCGAAGAGCCAGCGCTGTCCAAAGACGTTTCCGTGGTCATGTGGCCGGCATGACTAAACACCAAGGCACACGGAACGCTGTTACCTTCCCACTGAAGTGGTACCTATTTCTCTACTTGCAATTTCTTGCTTTCAAACTGCTAGGTTGGCAGGAGCTGGAACTAGAGATGGGAGCTCACTCCGTCATGCGGCACACCCGGATCTCGAACTGCTGAACTACTGACCTTCCACAGCCTGCAGTTCAGCCCCTTAACCACTTGAGCCACCGCAGCTCCAAAATATTGTGTAGGCAGATGATAAATAAAGCGGATCTAAAAGTATTCCTAAGGACCTAATTTTGACATCAGTTATAATCAAACACGTTTAACAGATGAAGCTGCTTTATACTGAATCAGACCCTTGGTCTGTCAGAGTCCGTATCGTCTACTCAGACTGGCAGCCGCTCTCCGGGGTCTCAGGCGGAGGTCTTTCATGTCACCTACTACCTGATCCTTCTTACTGAAGATGCTGGGATTGAACCCTGGGACCTTCTGCATGCCAAGCAGAGGCTCTGGCACTGAGAGACAGCCCTTCAGACATTAAGCTGTCTTGAACCAGACCCTCTGTCCACCAAAGTCAGCCCTGTCTACTGAGACTGACAGCCGCTCTCCAGGGTCTCAGGGAAAGGACTTCCCTATCACCTACTGCCTGGTCTAACTGGACATGCCGGGGATTGAACCTGGGACCTTCTGCATGCCAAGCAGGTGTTCTGCCACTGAGCCACAGCCCCTCCCCCTCCAGCCCCCACCTGGAGGTTACGTAACAAAATCTGGCTATGCAGGATGTGTCGTATACTAAATCTGGAAAACACTGTAATGGAGGAATACACACAAAAATTCTGTTTGAAGGGACAAAAAAACCCCCTCTTTTTAACTATTCTTTCAAGATGCAGTACAAGTACAAGTTGAATTTAAACACGTGAAGCTAAACCACAGTACATGAGGTTCACCACATTGCATTAACCACGGCAACGGATGTCCCAGGTAAATCTCTGTTTCGGCCCTCCGTCAGGCCGTAGTTATATGGTAAAACCAGGAGCACAGAGACAAGCTAAATAAAGCTGGACACGCACGCGCGCCTTCCTCCAGTTCCACCAGCAATTTACACACAGACGTTTGAAACCGCAACCGGGGAAGAGTTGAGGGGACTGGTGCAGGACGTGCAGAAGGGCTTCTCCTCTATTCCCAGCCGCACTCCACCACTCTGGCATTATAACAAGCGGAGGCGCTTTACTATTTCCCTTGACACTAAGGCCTATTCAGTGTCCCAACCGGCTCCACAGAGCCAAAAGCCTTTATTTAGCTTGTGTCCGTGCTCCTGGCTTTACCAGGAGATTTACCTCGGGCATCTGCTACATAGTAAAAGGAAAGGTTCCCTTGCTCGAAAGCCAGTCGAATCCGACTCTAGGGTTGCGGTGCTCATCTCCGTTTCAAAGCCGAAGAGCCAGCGCTGTCCGAAGACGTTTCCGTGGTCATGTGGCCGGCATGACTAAACACCAAGGCGCACGGGACGCTGTTACCTTCCCACCGAAGTACCTATTTATCTACTTGCAATGTCTTGCTTTCAAACTGCTAGGTTGGCAGGAACTGGAACTAGAGACGGGAGCTCACTCCATCATGCGGCACACTCGGGTCTCGAACTGCTGAACTACCGACCTTCCACAGCCTGCAGTTCAGCGCCTTAACCACTTGAGCCACCACAGCTCCTACTACATCTGCTACATGGTGAACCTCATATATTGTGGTTTAGCTTCCCATGTTTAAATGCAACTTGTACTGCATCTTGAAAGAAAAGTTAATAATAAGAGTTTTTTTGTAATTTGAAATAGAATTTTTGTGTGTATTCCCACCTGGAGGTTGGCAACCCTATGTCACTCCCCAGACCTGTGCCCCCCACCTTGAAGTACCGCTAACATCCCTGTGTAAGGCCAGCACCATGAATGTAGTCCCAAGTGTTTGAACATCTGCCAATTGCCTTCCTCCCCAGGACATTTCAGCCCATGAATGCAGTCACCAATAGATGGCAGCATTCTTACAAGTGGCCTTGCCTGAGTAGCAGATTCATCTTTTTCTGCCGACAGAGTGCAGAAGTTACTGTGCACAGGAGGATTTCCGTTTTGTCTTGTCGTTGGCCACTTCAAGCATAGGAGAAACAGGAGTTAAACTTTTGAAAACCACCACAGGGTCCCCTCATTATAACTGATTTAACACCCAACTCGTTCATTCGTGTGAAACGTCACATCGAGTACTTTCGCTTAGCCAAGTTCAGAATGGAAGTATAACCAGTACAGCCGCTGCATTTGTTCCAGGAAGATACTCTTTCCCTTCTAGAGGATGACACAGATTGGGTGAGGCGACTCTTATTTCCTGTTATTGATCAATATTGAACAAAAACGTTACAGGATGGCAGCTCCTTAAAATGTCGCTTTTTGGCACCTAGTTATCGCTGAAAGCAATATTGTCATTGTTATTTTATAAAGTGGTTTCTTCTGTCTTGCTTATTTCAGGAAGCATCGTGAGCGTAGGAGACCCCAAGAAGAAATATACACGGTTTGAGAAAATTGGCCAGGGGTAAGTTCTGAAGCTTTCCTTCAAGTGACATGAACGCATGAAACTACCTTATACTGAATCAGACCCTTGGTCCATTGAAGTCAGTCTTGTCTACCTGGATTGCCAGTGGCTCTCCAGGGTCACAGGTGAAGGTCTTTCATATCACCAATTGCCAGATCCTTTAACTGGAGATAGCAGGGATTGAACCTGGGACCTTCTGCATGCCAAGCAGATGCCACTGAACCACAGCTCCTCCCATCATGACACAGACATAGCTGATTGGCTACAAAGGGCTTTGGTGTCATTCCATTCGTCTCATGATCCCTGATTGGGTGGGATAATCCAGTGAGGGATCCAGGAAGGCAGAAAAATAAAATTGGGGGAGAGGGAATGACATCAAAGCAGCAACTACAATTCGGAGAAACAATGACATTGAAAGGGATAGGAAAAGATTAAGATTCGCACAGTGTAGGTGCAGCACAGGGGGGAAATTATATTCCACCAAAACTGCTTTTTGCCGGAAAATGGCCATCTGCTTTTGGAATCAGCCTTGCCACACTGCCCCAGAGAGTTTCAGAACTGCACAGAGGGGAGGTCCCCTTGAGAATCCAAGAAACTGCTTGATTCTATGTTTTGCCCAGAAACTTTCCCTTAATCCTCACCAAGGCGATACTCTGGTTTTAGGGATGGGGAAGAATGTATTTTTTGTTTTTTTCTGATTCAGGTACATTGGGCCCGAAAAATATCAGTCTTTCCTGATATTCTTGAATCCCAATACTGGTATGGATCTGGTAAATATTCGGGATTCCTGATTTTTTTTGGATCCATTATACCCTATGGGGACCATTAAAGTCAATGGCAAATCTGTCCTAGTGCTCAAGTGGTTAAGACGCTGAACTGCAGGCTGTGGAAGGTCAGTAGTTCAGCAGTTCGAGACCTGGGTGCCGCATGATGGAGTGAGCTCCCATCTCTAGTTCCAGCTCCTGCCAACCTAGCAGTTCGAAAGCAAGAAATTGCAAGTAGATAAATAGGTACCACTTCGGTGGGAAGGTAACAGCGTTCTGGACGCCTTGGTGTTTAGTCATGCCGGCCACATGACCACGGAAACATCTTCGGACAGCGCTGGCTCTTCGACTTTGTAACGGAGAGGAGCACCGCAACCCTAGAGTCGGATTCGACTGGCTTTCGAGCAAGGGAACCTTTACCTTTACTATACCCTATGGGGACCATTAAAGTCAATGACAAATCTATCCTAGGGTATATTCAGTGGTTGGGGGGTGGGGTTTGAGGTAGAGGCACCATATTTGCAGCATAGCTGCTGGAGCCTCTCCTCAAAATAACCCCCTAATTTCAAAAAGATTGCACAAGGGGGTCCAATTCTGTAGGCGCCCAAAGAAGGTGTCCCAATCCTCTATTTGAAATGGGGAGGAGGGGAGTAGCAAGGCAATACAAGCCCAGCAGAATGTCCCAGAGAATCTCTGCAGCAGAAAGTGAAGTGGGTGTGTGTGTGCATTTTTGCAAAGCCAGTAGCAGAACTAGTGCCACTGTGGCAATGCCAAAACCCAACAGGACTTAGGTCAAATCTGAGAATCTCTGAAGTAGAAACGGGGGGGGGGGGGC